CCAGTCTGGACAGCTCCTTTGGCCACATTCATGGCACTGGTCACCCCACTGCACACAGTGTCCTTGGTGCCTGTGACAATGTTTTGGGTCGTGTTGATCCCAGTTTGCACAGCTCCCTTGGCCATGTTTGCTGCCCCTGTCACCCCAGTGGACAGTGCATCTTTGGTGCCTATGACGATGGTCTTCGTGGCGTCCATGCCAGTCTGGACACCTCCTTTGGCCACATTCACAGCACCAGTCACGCCACTGCATACGGTGTCCTTGGTGCCTGTTAGGACAGTCTTGGTGGTATCCAGGCCAGTCTGGACAGTACCCTTGGCCACATCCACTGCACCTGTGACCCCAGTGGCCACGGTCTCCTTGGTGCCCATGAGTGCAGACCGGGTCATGTCTAGGCCTCCCTGCATCACACCTTTAGCTGTGTCCACCATGTTGGCCATCCCGGAGGAGATGGCACCCTTGGTCTTGGTCATCTTAGAGCACACCAGGTCCTTTGCCCCAGAGATCATCTGATAAGAAAGGACACATGTGGTCAAAAGGAGAGCTGGAGACACTATACCCCAGACTTCAGCCAAGCTGATCCTCTGTGTGCCTTCAGGAGGGGGACTGTCCCCCAGAAAGCCTGCCACTCACCTCCCACCCTGACATACTTTCCTCTCGTGCTGGTATCCAGCCTCAACCCGCCCTGTCCCAGTGCCGGATCATCCCCATTGTTGATGGCAGGTCCCTACAGCTCTGGACCCCTTGCCAAAGTCCCCTGAACTTGGGCTCAGTGCCACTCACTGAATGACACCGTGTGTTCACCCTGCCTACTCTTTACTTTTGGCAGATTTCAAGCCTGGTTTCCCCATGAGTCTGGAGACCAAGTCGCTCATTAAACAGAATGTCTTCAAGTGAGAAAGGAGAATCAACATTTAGAAGAGTAATACTTGCTAAAGGATAGGGACAAGTGTTGGGGTTGAGTCATGGGACCCCGTCAGTGATTTTCATCACTTTTGACCTCCCAAAGGGCGGTTTCTCCAGTTAGTTAAACTAGAAAAGGGTGGTGACGGTCTGAGTGCCAGCACGCAGTTTCAAGCACGAGTGTGCTGTTTGTAATCTAGGGCTCCTGCACTGGGGTGTTTCCACCCTCCACGGGACACCGGGCAGTGTCTGTGGATGTCTGGGCTTGCCGAGACTCAGGGGAGAGGGTGCTCCTGGCATCGAGTGCACCCCTTCCCCATCATCGGGACAGCCTCCACCTGCCCAAGGTTTAGGTACTACCATACCACGCCTTGCTGTGTGATCTTTGGCAGGTTGCTTGCCTTCTCTGTGCTTCACCTGCCGTGTGGGTTACTCTGGCTCCCTTTCTCCTGGGGCTGGTCAACTCTGAAGCAGTGTGTGGAAAGCCTTCAGCCCAAAGCACGACACATGATGAGTTCCCCGTGTTTTTAGTCCCGTGATGCGAGACGGAGCTGGGACAGGGTCAGGGGGCTCTCTGTTGATCACGTGGAGCCTTGCCATGTCCGGAAAGAGGGCAAGACCGTGCTATGTCACCGATGTGCCAACAGAAGCTTGGAAGGGAGCCAGTGCCTGGAATCCCACAGCAGGACACACACAAAGGTCTGCCCTCGGCTTGGCCTATGACAGCCCCTCAGAAGGCAGGAACCAAAACAGCCTGGGAGGGGCCCCAGAAGGAGCGGAGGCCATCAGGCTCTGCCAGCACCTCTCACCTTATCCGAAGGCGGCGGCAGCTTCTCCCCACGCTCCGTCGGGTCCAGGTTGGTGGCTGCTGGGAGGACAGGAGCTGGTCAGGCAACCAGGAAGGGCGAGGGACGTGGGCTGGCATCAGCCACCCCAGTGCCCGTTGCGCAATTGGTGGGCACAGCCTGAAAGGTCAGGAATGTCCCAGCTGCCCTGCCAGGGACAGCAGATGACATCCGCGGCCATTGGTCTGGTGCCGTCACTGGCCCTGCCAGAGGCTCCCCTGACCTCCGGGGTCTCAGGTTCCTCTCTGGAGTTTTCCCTGCCTGGACACTCCCCGGAGGGGGACCTCAGGAAGAGGATTCAGGGCCCCGCCCCCCCCAACTCTGCCGCAGCTGGCAGCTGCCCATTGGGCCCGGGTATGTGGAGCAGAAGTCAGCTGCTCGGGGCTCTGGCCCAGAGTGAGGCCTGGTCCAGGAAGCCGCCCCAACCCTAGGCTCCCCTGCATCAGCCCCTCTGTGTGCCCTGGGGCTGCCCAAAGGGTGGAGGGCCCCCCCAGACTGTGTGACCCCCTGGAAACCAGTGCCCCTTTCTGGGAACGGGGAGGGGAAATCTTCAGTGAGCTCAGACATGGGGAACACCCAGTCTCTGGTCCATGTTGCATCAGAAATGGGGTGGGAGGCAGGTGAGGGGTTGAGAAAGTAAGGGACATCGCAGGGAGACAGGCTGTGTTCAGAACCATGCTACTGTGGGCCACTCACCTGCTGTCTTGATGCCTCAGTTTCCCCATCTGGTGCTAAATGAGCATGCTGGCCCGGCGTGTCTATTGAGATGATGCTGACACATGTGAACCCCCAAATAGCCAAAAGCCCCGTTAGGGGGTTTCTTCCTGGGGCCCACCCCCAGAGCCCCTGCCTCCATGGAGCTGTCCACTCACCCTCAGTCTGGGGCTGGGCAGAGGCACCTGTGGGATCTGCGACGGGCCGGGCCTCTTTCGCTGAACTGTGGGCGCCGGCCATCAGGTTCCGTGCAGAACTGAAGCCAGGCAGAGACCCGAAGAAGCTCCCCAGGGTCTATAAGGGGCAAAAGGGCAGGGCCAGGCCTTAGGGGCAGGGCAGGGAAAGCATCAGACAGCCTGGGGTTCCTGGGTCACCTCACTCTTGCTCCTGGGTGGCCCCAGGAAGGAGTCTTAGCCTCTCTGAGGCTCAGTTTCCTTGTCTGGAGAATGGGCAGGGTCAGCCTGCCTCCCATACAGAGGAGAAGGTCATCCTCCGGGTCTCTAAAGACCTTTTCCTTTCACGGCCTCCATTTCACAGATGGGGAAACCGAGGCCCAGAGAGGGGCCATGGCTGGCTCAAGATCACACAGTGAAGAAGGAGCTGAGGGTTGCTCGCGTCCCCCACTCCTGCCCTCGCCCTCCAGCTTGGGACAGCAGAGAAGTGTGGGTTCCACGGCTCTTGGAGCCTTCCCGCCCCACCTTGGAAGCCCCTCTGGACCCCAGTATGGGGAGGTCACCTTCTCAAGGCTCTGGGGGGTTCCCGGGCCCTGGCAGGGATCTCCCCCTCCCACGCCTCCCCTTACCTTGCCCTTGGGTTTGGGAGGATCCCGGCCTCCTTTGTCTGGGGCAGACATGGTGATGATACCCTAAGCAGCTGGAAGGGGGCAGAGAGGGTGTGTGAAGAGAGGCCCCCAGACAGCCCCCGACCACACCCCCAGCCCCAGCCCCACCCTGGCATTGCTCACCTGGAGTGAGTGAGGGCCCCTCTGAGCCACAGGAGGTGCGGCTGGCAGCCGGCTCTGCTCTCGGCTACCAGGCCTTATAGGGTCTGGGGCAGGCACGGCCCGGCCCGCAGAGGCAGGCAGCCAGCTAGGGGAGGGCCCTGGGCAGTCACGTGCAGCCTGCCCTGCCCAGCGTGGGCCCTGGGCCCAGCACCTTTCCCCTGCTATCAGCACCAGGCGGCCTCTGCCCACGGCCCCCACCCTCACTGGGTTAATGGATTTTAGGGCCATCCCATGCCCCCGAGGCACTGCCTGCACGCTCACTGAGGCTCTGCTGGGACGCCTCGGCCGGTGAACACCCTGGGGCCTCAGTTTACCCTTCCAGCCTCCTCACCATGGCCCACAAGGTCCTGTTATCTCCCGGTCCTCACCTTCTCCAGCTCTCTGACCCCCACACATTCTGCTCCAGTGCACCAGACTCCTTGCTGTCCCTCCAGCGCACCAGGCATGGGGCTTCCCCAGGATCTTTGCACATGCTTTCCTTCTACCCGAGGGCCCTTTTGCACAACACACAGCTCCCTCTCTCTCCTCCCTCAGGCCTGTTTTGTTCCCAGCAAGGTCTCCTGCAATCAATTTATACCTGGCGCACACACAACATTTAATAAACATTTGGCTAAATGGGCCAACTCATAGGACAGTTCTGAGTGCGAAGTGTGGTCAAGCATGTGACCTGTTTACCCCAGTGCCTGGTACCCAGCAGGTACTCAACAAACATTAGCTTAGCATTGTCCAGGCAAAAAGAGAGGAACAGGATCTCTCCTGGGCAGGGAAGGGATGTGTCAATCTCCAGGCGGGATTTCCCTCGATAAATTAGGGCCAAAATGCAGATGGGTCCAGGGTGCCAAAAGAGCCGAGGGATCTTGGGAGTGAGATCCAGGTGGGCTTGGGACAACCCAGGGTGACTTATTGGAGGCATCCTCTGCCTGAGGCCGCAGAGCCAGAAAGCGGCAGAGACAGGATTCGAATGCAGCCCAGAGTCTATGCGCAGAGTGGGCTGTATGTGGGTTGGTACAGAGGCCGGCAGACAAATGACGCCCTCCCTGAGCTAAGTTTCCCCCTGACTGCTCCTGGGACAGGGATCCCAGTTGTGTGCTGGTGGGGTAGGGGACAGACCCCATTGGTGGCTCTGGGCACTGAGCTGGGAGGAGGGAGGGTTCAGACACAGCCTGATGACCCCCAAGTCATCTCCTTGGAGCCATCGCTGTGTTTGCCAAACAGTTGGGGAACAAAATAGGGATGTCCCCCAAACTCTAACCTCTCAGCCAATCCTTCCCAAAGGTGGCAGGGGAGGAGGGAAACCTTGGGTGTGCTCCTCCCCTTCTCACAGGCTGCCACAGCACCATGAGGGCAGAGAAACCCAGCCAAGGTAATAAAAGTGATCACAAACATCCGAGTCACGTCCTGCCCTCCTCTGCCCAAAGTCCCCCAGGGATCCCACCTCCCTGGAGCAAACCCTAGTCTTCCTCACGGCCCTGGCCCCTATCACCTCCCTGTCCTCCCCTTCTCCCTTTCTCCCCTCAACTCATTCTGTTCCAGACACAATGTTCCTCCAACTCACCAGGGCCAGTGCTGCCCCAGGGCCTTTGCACAGGCAGTGTCTCCTGCCCAGAATGCTCGTCAGTCTTTGCTCTGAGAGGTCTTCTTGGGCCCCCTTCTCCTATTTAAAAATATACACCCTTCCTTCTACCCTCACACGCCCCCCCATCCTCCAACACTTTTATATTTTTCATCATCTATACAACTAAGACATAATTTGCACATAGTTTGTTGTCTCTCCAGCTGCACTGTAAGGTCCCAGAGAGCAGGATTTTTACCTAGTTTGCTACCTGCCTGGCACACAGCAGGTTCTCAACAGTATTTGCTTGCTGGCCGCGCAGATGAATGAGTGAACAGCAGCTTCCAAACGTGAAGCGTGTCCTAGGACTGAGTATGGTCGCCTCACTACTTTCATACCCACCCCACAGAGAAGAATCCAGGCTCAGAGAAGGCAAGCAACTTGCCCGCCCAGGTGCAGGCCAGGCTGAGATGCAAGCCCAGGGCCGTATCTACTGACCCACCCCATTCCAAGGTTTCTCCTCAGCCCATTAGCTTTCCCTTCCCACTGGTCCTGCCACACTGACTCCACTATCCCCCAGTGCCATACGTTTGCCCGAGTCACTCCCTCTGCAAAACACCCTTCCCGTGTGCCACCCTGCCCATCCTCACCACGCCTGGCCCTCCAGGAGCCCCCAGCCTTGTGAGGGAAGAGAAGACAAGGTTGCCTGAGGCTCGAAGTCTGAGTAGAAGGGGGTTTAGAGTCTCAAGAAAGTGAGCTGTAGATTGTTGGGGCTATCCCACTGGAGTGGAGTGAGGGAAAGCTTCCTGGAGGAGGTGGCATTGGGGCTGGGGCTTGAAGATGGATGGGATGTGTCCAAGAGATGGGTGGTGGGGTGGGAGAGGACTCCAGGCACAGCCTGTGCACAGGCCTGGAGGTGGGGGAATTGCAGAGTTCAGTGGGAATGCGGCATGCCAGGGTAAGGAGGTTGGATAATTGGTTTGAGGGTGAGTGGGAGCCATGGACGTTCCTGACCAGAGGCGGGGAAGTTAATCTGGCTAGTGGGAGGTAGTTCAGCCTCCCAGAGCTGCCCCTGGGCCAGGTCCTAGGGAAGCCAGAGGCCACCCTGACCTCACCACATTACACTGTGGTTTCCTAACACCCCACCCAGCCACAGGGGAGTCTGAGGGGCAGCCAAGAATTCGGTCAAAGGATGGGACGGCCCCCAAGAGACTGGCCCGTGGCCCTTCCCCTACCTCTGTCTGCCCCATTTCTCCAGTGCAGCTGGAGAAATCACAGCAAGTTCAACACCCCTGGGTCTAGGGAGGTTGGCATAGGACAGGCTGCCCTGTCTGACTTCTTTCTCCCTCTGATCCCGTTCTCTGCAGTTGCTAAGAAATTCATTTATACTAAAGTGTGAATAGCTTCCATTCCAGGAAGCTGCATCTGGGTGCCTAACCCTTGTGGGCCGGGCACTAGAGGTGGGACTCGACAAGTTGTCAAGCTGGTCAGAGAGGCATTCTCACGCTTTCAAATATCGAACCTTGGCTTGTGCCATGCAGTCACACACCTGAGGTCCCCGGCACTCTGCAACTGAGACCCACCCTGGCCTGAACAGGGGCCATAGGCCTTTGAACAACACAAAGCACCTTTATTCCGGAGCACAAAACCCCAAAGGGCAAAACAAGTGGGTCTGCAGGCCCAGCAGATACAGCTGGCTATCTTCGGGGACCCCCCAGTCCAGGGTGTACAAGGTGGTGGGGGAGGAGGGTGCTCTCTTTTCAAAACCCCGAGTAGAAGTCATCGGGCAAAACATGTGCTTCTATGGGGAGTTTTGATCGGTTTCTTGGGGTTCAGGGAGGCGGGCCACCGACAGATGAACCCAGCCAGGGGCTAGTGGGACCTGAATTGGGTTCCAGTCCCCATATGCTCAAGGGAAGGACTGGAGAGGGCCTGAGATCAGTGAAGCTGGTCTGAGATGGCGACTTCAGCCCCCCCACTCCCACCCTGCACCCAGGCCAAGGCCACAGCATGGGCTGTTAGTGCGCACACACGGCCACTAGGGGGCAGCAGGGATCTCGGATAGAAGCGGGCCTCCTGCTTGCTGCCCCTGCGGCCCCGCGGCCCCCTCTGGTCAGAAGTCCAGCTCTGGCATCAGGGTGTGCTTGGGGGTACTGGGGGGCACGGGTTCCTCCTTGGGAATGTCCTCTGGGAGGGCTGGCCCGTCCCCGCGCTCGGCCTCCCAGGCTCTCTGCTGGGCCGGCCAGTCCAGGTGAGCCCAGCGGGGGTCGGGGTCCCCCACGACCTCGTCCACCAGAACATCCAGGTCGGGCGGCGGCGCAGACCGCTCCACGAGGATGGGCGCAAAAGGCCCCACCAGCCAGGGGAGCGGCACGGCCTGCACCACCAGCTCCAGCAGCTCATCCACACAGGCGTGGGCCCGGGCCACACTGCCCCGGCCCTCGGCCAGGGCAGCGGCCGGCACGTCCCCGAAGCGGCGGGCGTCGGCGAAGGCGGACTGCAGGGCGTCCACACTGCGCCGCACCTCGGCCACCCTCTCCTGGGCGCCCGGGGGCAGGCCCCGCACGCTGCTCTCCAGCGCGTCCACTGTGCCCTGCAGCTCCCGCATCAGACTTCGGCACAGCACCAGCGTCTCCAGCTCCGCCTGTGGGGGGAAGGGAGGGGCCTCAGGGCACCAGATGGCCGCCCACCCAGACCAGCCCCTGCCTCAGTTTCTCCATGCATCCTCCAAACAGCAGAGCTCGGCACTTGGTTTGAGAGAGCTGGAGTCTGGCCCCTGGCGACCCGGGCAGATCCAGAACACCCCCCCACACACCCCCCTGCTCATCCTCTCCCTCCCACCCTACCTGGCTGCGGCGGCGGCCGCCATTCTCTGGGGAGCGCTGGCTCCAGTCCTCCCAAAGCTCATGCACCTTCCCAGGGCGGGCAGGGGCAGTGGGTGTCACCCCGCACTGCATGAGGTTAATCTGAGGGGACGGGGATAGTGGTGGTCAGAGCTGGACCATTTGGGGGCTCAGGGGAGCCGGCATCCTAGCCTGGATCTGGTCTTGATAAACATCTAGAGAACATCTTCTTCCCTGCAACCTTCCCCCGCCTGCTGATCCAGCCTGGCCCACCTGCCCGCTCTGTCCTCTGCTCTTGGCCAGACCGAGACCTGTGGGTCCCCTAAAACTCAGGCTCACTTTGCCTGTGCTGCTCCCTCTGCTGGCGACACACTTCCCTCCACTCTATGCCCCTGCCTGGTTCGCTCCAGTTTAAGTTTCAGTGTAGACGACTCCCCCTCCAGGAAGTCTTCCCTCCTGCCCTCCTGGCGGGGCAGATTCCGCAAGCCCTCACATGTCCCCATCCGGGGCCCTGATCCCCCTACTGGACCCCCACTGTCTCTTCGGTGCCCGGGACAGGGCAGACATTAGGAGATAAATCGAAATAAAGTGTGGTCCATCTGCACTCTGGAATATGATTCAGCCTTGAAAAGGAAGGGCATTTTCACCCCTGCTACAACGGCGGATGGACTTGGAGATAAACCGTCTCAGGGGCTCATAGGCGCCCTCTGGTGGGTGCTGTGGGGAGGACAGAGTGGAGTCCTTGGTGGGGCTGGGGGTGGGCTGGCTCTGGGTGCGAGAAGAGGAGGGGGAGCTATGGGCAGAGCTGGGGTACTGGCTGATGTGCGGGATGTGGGATCAGAGGAGAAGAGGGGAGTCGGGGCTTGCTCCGGTGTTGACCTGAGTCCCTGGAAGCATGGAGGTTGAGAGGAAGCAGGAGGAAGAGGTTAGGGGCGTCTGAACTTATCCAGCTCAGTTAAACGGGAGCTGCCATGGTCCTTTGGAGCAGGGAGGGATGGACAGTGAGGAAAGAGGCAAGAACCTATAGGTTGGGGAGGGTTGGGATTGGTGGCAGGAAAGCAAGGGAAGGGGAACTTTTTCTCGCTCCTGAACTACCCTAACTGCCTGTAAATTCCAGCTCTTGCTTCCCCCCCACCAGACGAAACTCCTTCCCGTCTCCCCAGGCTGAGCCTTGACTCCTCCCTGAGCTGCCCCAGCCCCGAACACACACAGCTGGAGGCAGCCGAGCTCGGCTGTGCCTCCCCCTTCAGACCAGCTGGGGACCAGGTCCTCAGCCGGCACTCGGTCCATGCCTACTGGCCTGCATCGTGGCAGGGGCGTGGACAGAGGGCTCTCACCAGCCCCAGCGTCTCCTGCAGCTCGGCCAGCGTGTCCTGGACGTGGTGTTTCTTCTGCCTCAGTTTCCCCAGGGAGTGTTCATACGCCAGGTGGCGGAGCCGCGCGGACAGGGAGCCCAGACGTACAAAGTAGCCCTGGTGTTTCCTCTGCTCCTCCACAGAGCCCACTTCCGGGCCCTCCGCCTCGGCCGCCAGGGCCGCTGGGGGATGGGACAGGGGAGGGGGTCAGCATGGCCACCCCGGCACATCTGCTCACTCTCCTTCTGGGTGGACAAGACCACGGACTCCCTAATTTATCATTTCTTTTACCAGTATCAACTCACTTAACCTTCCCCAGACCCTAGGACGTAGGCACTGCTATTAGCCCCATTTACAGATGAGGAACACTGAGGCAAAGGGAAATGACGTCCCACGGCATGCAAGAGGCAGATCTGGGATTCCAACCCAGGCACTCTTAACCCCTCGACTAAACGGTCTGTGAAGGATATCCTGCAGGTGCTTGGCATACAGTAGGTGCCTCATAAATGACTCGCAGCCTTTCTGCAGACGAGGGAGGGCCTTGACACACTTTTCCCGGGCCCTAAAGCAGGGGCTGGGAGGTCAGATCATCTCTGGGGTCAGAGACGGGAGGTAGAAAGTTGGAGAATGGTGCTTTTTGTTTTGTTTTGTAAGATTTTATTTTTTGAGTCCTCTTTACCCCCAATTTGGGACTTGAACTCACAACCCTCAAGTCTCTGAGCCCCGTAGACGCTTAGGGCCTGTGTGGTCTGATTTCTAGCAGAATGTGGGTTGGGGAACCATGGATGGGGATACGGACGTCAGGCCCAGGCTCAGCTCAGTGTTTCCTGCTGAACTGCTGTGTGGCCCTGCCCAAGTCCCAGACTTCTCTGATCCGTCCCCACCGGGGATGCGGACTGAGCAGAAGGATTCAGGGGCAGGGCAGGGCGGGAGGGTGGCGGCCTCACCGAGCTCGTCCTCAGTCATGGGCAGGAAGTGGTCCACCAGCTCCTCTGACTTGCCCAGCACGACGTCCACGGCGTGGCTCATGGAACGCTTTAGGTCCACACTCCAGCGGCGGCCCTGCCGGGCCAGGCCCACCATGCCTGTCACACCACTGGCCACCGTATCCTTGGCCGAGGTCACCACCTGGTGGGAGGGGGCTCCTTCCAGATTTTGACTTCCTTCTCTCAGCCCAGCTCCCTGGGGCTCAGTATCAAGGGGTCCCTGGTCCCTCCTGGCTCTGGGCCTCGATTTCCCTTCTATAAGATGGAGGCAAAGAAAAATTCTCCCGCACGGGGTTGTTGAGGGGATGACGGGCCCCAACCTGCTAGACTCAGGTGCTGATTATTTTCGTTTGGCTGGTGTTTTTTGAGTTGGGCCCAAACCTGACTCAGCCCCCTGTCCAGGCTGGTCCTGGGGAGGCCGCGCTGCTCCCTCCCACTTCCACCCCTCCCTGGGTCCCCACCGACCGTCTCAGAAGGTTGCTGGAGAAAAGGCAGCTTCTCTTCCAGCTTATCCAGACCCCGGCAGGCGAGGTGGTTCACTGTAGCCACTGGAGGGGAGAGGCAGGGAGTGAGGGCAAGGGGAGTAGGGAGAGGTAGAGGGAGGCCTGGGCCACCCCGCAAGAGGCTGGGGACCCTGGGGGTGGGGGTGGGGCACCAGGCTGGACCCCACCACTTCTACTGTCCTCCCAGCCTCAGCCCTGCCACCGGGCTGCCACCGGTGCCAAGGTGACTCCCCGTTCATGCCCGGCTCAGATGCCCCAGAGAGCAGGTTCAAGGTCACCCAAACTGGCTGAGGAGGAGGCGGGGAAGGCCCCGAGCTGGGACCCTCCGGTGACCCCCTTCCTCGATCAGATGTGAAGTCAAGGTCTTCGATCCACCTCCACCCCTGTCCCAGGCTGGACCCCTCAGCTGGTCCCAGGAGTCCAGGGATATGTGGGGCTCGGGACATGCAGGGGCAACGACAGAGAGGAGGACGGGGAAGGAGGTGGACAGGCAAAGGGACCTGAGGTGTGTCAGGCCACTCAACCAGGGAGGACATCAAGACACACAGGAAGGGGACAGAAAGAGGGCGGCCCAGATAAACAGCCAAGAACGGGGGTTCAGGCAATCAAACCACAGAGGGACAACCTATAGGGCGAGGCAGGTAGAATCAGGGGTGGGTGTGGGGGCAGGCGGGGTGCGGGAGATGGCGCTGGCAGGACTGGGGGAGGGTGAGACATGTGGATGGGGGGACAGACAGGTGGACGGACTAAACGGCACTCTCAAGAAGGCCCCAACTCAGCAGGTGCCCTCCAGAACCTGTCATAGGGATGGAGCAGGAGGGGACGGGGCAGCTGGGACATACTGCAGGACCGGGGGTCTTGGGGGGCGGGACCCAGGGTTGTAGGGGGTTAGGGGGGCGGGGTGGGACTCACGCTGGGGCTGCAGGTGGCTGAGCAGCGGCTGGGCGTGGTCCAGGGCTCGGGTGGTCAGGCCACATACGCAGTGCTCCGCCAGACGGCAGGCAGAGCCCAGCAGCGGGTGCCTGTCCTTGGCCGCGCTGTAAGCATCGAAGACTGCGGTGCACGTGGTCCTGACCAGCGGCAGGGCCACCACGCGCTGCACCACGTTCTGCGGGAAGAGGTGGCGTCAGAGGGGCCCCTGATGGGGTGGGGCGGGGGGGGGGGGGGGGGGGGAGCTCAGCCACACCTCAGTCCACATGACCCCTCTCTGGGCCAGGATGACCACGTGGGCGAGAGGGTTGGGGGGACTGCGCAGGTAACCTGGGGCTTCAGCCTCCCCATCTGTAAAATGGGTTTCTAGGGCTGGGAGAGTCATAGGCGTGAAGTGCTGGGAGCGGGGTTGATGCAGAGTCTTGGGCAGAGACCCGGGGCTGGGGGAGGGAGAGACACTCCCCGCTCCCGGCACCACTGTGCCCCTTTGGGAAATGAGTAGGCTGTGCCACCTCCTCCATGGTCCAGAGGGGGTACCTGGCCTGAAACTGTCCCAGAAGGGATATATCCCCCCCACTCTGGCCTGTGCCCCTCCTCTGTGGGAAGGGCAGCCCCGCACCTGCTGGTCCTGTTCCCACAAGCCGGTTTGGGGGGACCGGGCAGCCTCATCTTCTGACATGCCTGCTGCGAACACCCTGTGGGGCAGGACAGGGTGAGAGGGGCCTCTACCCACCAGCCCCCCGGGTCCTGCCCAGGCCTTGGGTTCTGTCCCGCTGGGCTTGGTGACTTGGGCAAGCATTGTTCTCTCCTGTGACCTCAGTTTCCTCAAAATGGGGTAATGATGGGGCACCCGCGTGGCTCAGTCCATCGAGCACCCGACTCCTGGTTTCAGCTCAGGTCATGATCTCAGGGTCGTGAGGCCTGTGTTGGGCTCTGCGCTCAGCAGCGGGTCTGCTTGAGATTTTTCTCCCTCTCCGTCTACCCCTCCCCTGCTTGCACACCCACACTCTCTCTCTCTCCCAAATAAATAAGTAAATCTTAAAAAAAAAAAAAATGAAGGTAATGGTAGTACCTACCTCAGAGTGTCATGAGGGACATGGACAATGCGACAATGCGTGCACAAGGCTCTGCACACAGCAGGTGCACACTAGAGAGCTCTGGCAAGGTGGGGACACTGTAGTGATTCAAAGCATGGGCTCTGGAGAGAGAAAGACCTGGATTCAAATCTTGCCATTACATGCTGTGTGACTTGGGGCAAGTGCCTTCACTTCTCTGAGCTGTTTCCCCTTCTGCAAAGGAGAGGAGGTGCCTGCCGTCCCTCCCCACCCCCAACTCACCCTTCCCCGACAGAACTGCATATGCAGCCCCCTGCAGGGGTGGAGAATCCCAGTAAGTCCACAGACTGACAGGGAGACTGAGGCGGCCGGCAGGTCCGTGGTGTTTCCAAAGCCACTCATCTAAGCGGACTCAGAGTGGGGAGTTCGACCTGAGGCTCGCAGTTCTTCCTTTATCTCCATCCTGTGCCCTCAGAGCCCTGTTCTCCGCCCAACTGGGTCCTGAACTTCAGCCAACTGGGCCAAGGGTCTCGGCCACCTGCTCCGCCCGTTGTCCCCCTCCCTTCTCACGCCGCTCGATCCTCTCCCGCTCACCTGATCTGGAGCCCCCAAATCTGCGGGACTCTCCTGGACGCCCTCCGCGTGGCACTCACCTGGGCGCGTGCAGCCACAGTCTCCAAGTGCCCCTGCGGACCCCAGACTCTGGCTCCAGTCTCCGCCCGCCGCTGGCCCCTCCCGCCTTATAGCGGCTCGGGGGGCGGGCTTCTGGGACTGACCAATGGGGAGGGGCCGGGCGGAGGCGTGTCTCGGGGGCGGGGCTCCAGCCTACACTCCCCACCCTGCGCGCTTCCCTGGGGCTCTGTCCCGGTCGCGGTCGGAGTCGGGGTCGGGAAGGGGATGTGGGGAAGAAGGGGGAGCTCCGCAGTTGTCATAGTAACTTGAGGACGCTGGATGCCCCAGGATTGAGCTACTTTCCTCGGCCAGTTTTGGCCACCTGTCACCCTGCTGTTGCCGCGGAGACAGCGGGAGGACGATCCCGCAGCTCCCACCGCCTCCCAGAGGAGTGACCTTGGACAAGTCCTCAAGGTCCTTCTGGTTATTTAAAAAAATCTGCCATTTAACTTGGCCAGGAATCCGGCCCGGCCCATTCCCTTGGATCCCCATTTTACAGATGAGCAAAGTGAAGGATCCAATTCAAACCCCACTCGGCCAGACTCCAGGCTCCTCCCTGGCGTTCATCATCATGCGTGGAATGACCACCAATGTGGCCATGACCATTCTTCCAGGGACCCCTCCCCCAAACACCCAGGGGTCCTCCCAAATCTGACTCTGGCTCCCAGCATGCCCAGCACTGTGTCAGTAGGTGGCCCAAGGTTCTGAGTGGGAGGAACACAGGCTCCTATGCCTTCAGCTCCACCCAGCCCGCCCAAGCCCACCCTGGGTGGGTGCCTATCCCCCCGGCTTGTCATGGTCCAGCATGACAAATTGTTCAGAGACCTGAAGCAATCTGGTTTAATTTAAACCTTCCCCAGGACACAAGCTCTGGCAGGAATCCACAGGTAAAATGACACTCTGGGCAATGGTCAGTATTTTATTTCCAGTTAAGTCCTGGATGGGGGGAGGGGAGGAGGAGTCACGGGCCATCAGATCCCCACTGCCATCCCTCTGGAAGCTTATATCTTGCACCCCAGGCCCTGGGTCAGGCCTCTTCTTTCCTTCTCCTTCCTTTTTTTTTTTTTTTTTTAAGATTTTATTCATCCATTTGACATAGAGAGAGATCACAAGTAAGCAGAGAGGCAGGCAGAGAGAGAGAGAGAAGCAGGCTCCCCACGGAGTGGAGAGCCCGATGCGGGGCTCGATCCGAGGACCCTGAGATCATGACCTGAGCTGAAGGCAGAGGCTTAACCCACTGAGCCACCCAGGTGCCCTCCTTCTCCTTCCTTTTGGGGAGGACTAGGAAGTCAACCTGGGAGGTGCTTGGAACACAGTGAATTCTGCTTGAATTCCAATTCCATTCCACGGTTATTTCTTAAGCCCTCAGGTCTGACCCCAAACTGAATGATGATGGCTTTGAGGGAAAACAGACCCAGGCCCTGCATTCGGAGACCCCGCCCCCCGCCCACAAAGTGCGGGGGCAGAACCAGATAGAGACAACCCTTGCATAGCCAGGGCTGGGCCAGAGGGAGCCGAGCAGGCTGAGGGAGCCTGGAGACCAAGAGATCTGGAAAATGGGGGAAAACATTCTTTTCTCTTTTTCTTTTCTTTTAAGTAGGCTCCATGGCCACCGTGGGGGTTGAACTCACGACCCTGAGATTAAGAGTCGAGTGCTCTACTGACTGATCCTGCCACGTGCCCCCAGGGAAAGACATTCTTGGAAGAGGGTACAGGCGGCTGGAAAGCCCCATTCTTGGAAGAGGGTACAGGCGGCTGGAAAGCCCCACGTACATTTTGGGCCGAGTGGGTCCTGGCAGCTCTGGGAAGCTGAAGGTGAATTATTTGCTGAGTGGCGTGCGCTGAGCTGCCCCGCCTGTCTCACCACCTCGGCCCCAGGCCTCAGTGGGACTTGGCTGCTTCCAGGAGCTTCTGGCCCTTCGAGGCTTCAGGCCCAGCACAGCGTGTGGCATTCTGGGAGAACATCTTGTCTCTGTTGGCCACGAGCCACCCATAGAGGTCGTCCAGTTTCTCATCACAGATCCAGGGGTTCCCAGAGATGTCAAAGCCATCCTTCATGTCTCGGGTGGGCTGCCCCAGGGATGTCCAGAGCCCCTTGGGGACGCCGGTGAGCAAGTTGTTGGAGAGATCGAGCATATCCAGCTGCCGCAGGCCTTGGAAGGCGCCAGCGGCCATGGTGGCCAGCCTATTGTCATTCAGGAAAAGGTAGCGCAGGTCTGGCTGGGGTGACAAGAGCCCCTCTCCGAGCACCCGCAATCTGTTGCCCTCCAGGTGCAGCCTCTCCAACTGCAGGGGGCCCTGCAGAAGGTCAGGGGGCAAAGTCTTCAACTGGTTATTGCTGAGGTCAAGGATGCGCAGGGAGGTGAAGTTGGCCAACAGCCCAGGGGGCAGCGTCTGGAGGCGGTTCCCGGATAGGTCCAGATGCCCCAAGGCTTGGAGCCCCTCCAGCCAGGAGGGCTCCAGGATTTCCAGCCGGTTCTCTTTTAGCACCAGGGTGTGGAGAGTGGCAGAGACCCGGAAGAGGCCGGGGGGCAGCCGGGTCAGGGCATTGCGGGTTAAGTCAAGCACCTTCAGCAGAGGCACCGGCAGCAGGAACTTGGGGGAGAGGCTCTCCAGCTGGTTGGTGGAGAGGTGCAGCTCCTGGAGGTTAGAGGCGCCCTGGAGGGTGTCGGCCCGCAGCTGTGTGAGGTTGAAGAACTCCACCGCCAGGTAAACTGTGTCAGCGGGGAAGCGGTGAGGGAGTTTGGCGGGTGGGTGGCAGGAGACGGAGCTGCCATTGATCGAATGGAACACCAAGCAGGTGTCCCGGTTTGGGGTGACATCCTGGGCTGAGACCACAGAGAGCAGCAGCAGGAACAGTGTTCTAGAAAGATGGGAACTCAGGCCTCCTGGGCTGCAGGCAATGACAGAAGATATACCCTGATTCATGAAAGCGTCCCCAGACTCTGCCAACTATTTCCTGTCTCCCATCGCCACACCCGGCACCATGCCCCCTCATGGCTCCCCTGGATTCGGGCAGTCCCTGCTCCTCTCCTGGCTTCCACCCGCACCCGCCAAGAGCTGCCAGAAGTTGCTGCAGATCCCGAGAGCGGTCTAACTCTCCGAAAACTGAGTTTCTCAGTCTGACCCATAAATGTTACCCTTCTCCGTGGCCAGCCCAGCCCCAACAGGCTGTTAATGATTTACAGTCAAATTTGCTAATTTCTTGCTAATTTCTTCTGCTCTGACTTGTTTTCTGGGTCATTTCCTTTTTTTTTTTTTTAAGATTTTATTTATTTATTTGACAGACAGAGAGAGATCACAAGCAGGCAGAGAGGCAGGCAGACAGGAGGAAGCAGGCTCCCTGTGGAGCAGAGAGCCCGAAGCAGAGCTCGATCCCAGGACCCCAAGATCATGACCCGAGCCGAAGGCAGAGGCTTAACCCACTGAGTCACCCAGGTGCCTCTTCCAGGTCATTTTTTAGCTCCCTGGCTCCAAATTTTGAAGGTAGGGCCAGTGAACTCCTACTTATCCTGCAAAGTCCCAGTTCCAGTGCCCCCCTTTCCATGAAGCTTTCTTTGATTTTCCCAAGGTTTCCCCTCTGGCCTCCTGCTCTTTCTATCCAAACAAGGTTCTGTTTCTTTCTCTGATGGAGCCCCAGCTCCATCTCACTCCAAAGTGCTTGGGTGCAACCCAGCACTCCAGAGGGAACTCCGAACGTGAAAAGTGCATCCTGCTTTGTGCAGATCTGGGACAGGAATTTGGCCTTAGGATGGGGTGGTTTACAGTTGGCACCACAGTCCTTGGAAGGCTGGACTTCTGCTCTTCCTGGTCCCTCCAGCAGGCCTCTGATGGGGTGTTGGTCAGGAGGTGTTGGTGAGCCTCCAAATCTCTGTCTGGCCCAGGGAACACCTGGGACTTCTGTAGTGAGTGTGTTTATGAGAGCATGTCTGTCTATAGTTACAGCTGTCGGTCTATTCCAGCCTGCAGACCCATGTCTAGCCCTGTGACTTTGGTACATCAGACAGAATGGTCTGCTATCTAGTTCTGCCCACCATGGGTGGGGTGGGGGCTTACCTCTGGTTTCGCTGTGGGCTCCAAGAGGACATGCTAGCCTCTCTCTTTCCATCTGTGTTCCCTTAGCCTGGTGAAGTAGCCTTATATCTACCTGGACTGCCCGCAGGGCCACCTCCCCTCCTAGGGAAGTCCTCACCCACATCCTGTTCCCGTTAGTGGCTGGGCTTGAGCCAAGCAGGGGAAAGGAGCTGGTCAGAATTGCAAAATTGCTTCCTGGCAGGGAGAGGGCAGGAGGCCGGGATGCCTGCACCCTTTTCTACCTGCTTCTACCCAGTTTTTCATTCCTCTGATTCCTGCTTTTGGGGGTGGGGTGGGCACCTGAGAATCTCTGGGGCCAAATACCCACTTCCCCCAACCCAGAAATCTAGGGTCAGGTTTGCAAGGCACCATGCCTGAGGAATAGGGACAGCTCTTTAAGCAAGAGGTACTCTTTGCAATAAATTTGAGCAACCAGGAAGTTCAGTGAATAAATGAAAAGCATTTGTCTTCAATTCATGACATATTGTTGCTGGCTTTTTTTTTTTTTTAATGAAATCATTTCTACAAAATAGATTTCAAAAGTAAGTGATACTTGAAGTCTTCATGGGCTTTGAACAATGGCCTGGGTGGGATGAAACCTGGCCCTGGCTCCCAGCTTCATTAAGAATGGCTTTATTTTGTGATCTTGGGCAAGTGGCTTAACTTTTTTTGGCTTCAGTTTCCATATCCATGAAGTTGAACTCAGTCTCCAAAGGCCCCTTCTGCTCTTTCTTTCTTCATCTGACTCTAAGGTGCTCTTTGTTTTGGATCTTTCTCATTGCCTAATAAACGCATTTGGAGGCTACAAATTTCCCTCTGAAAACTGCTTTGGCTGCATCCCAAGGGTTTGGCTAGTCAGTGCTTTCTTTCTTTCTTTCTTTCTTTCTTTCTTTCTTTCTTTCTTTCTTTCTTTCTTTTTTCATTCTAAACATTCAGGTGTGATGCATCATCTTCACCTGAACCCGGGACTTCTGTCACGGCTGGCCATGGCCTCTTCTCCCTTGCATGATCTCTGAAGAGTTTTCTCTCTTTTGAGCTGTGAGAATGAATAGGAGTTCTGTCTTGTGGACGCTTAAGTTCAGAGATGCACATGCAGGCTGACCATGACAGGCATAAAGAAAGATAAATGGATATCCTCATGAACCCACAGATAGAGATACAACCCAGAGACAGGTGAAAACACAAAGAACCACACAGAGACACAGTCAGACAGAATAACAGACCCATAGAGTTGGACACACAGAAACGGATACTGACAAAATAGGCAAAGGACCTGAATAGACAGTTTCCCAAAGAAGACATCTAGATGGCCAACAGATACAGGGAAGGTGTTCAACATCACTTATCATCACTTGTCATCAGGAAGATGCAAATCAAACCCCAATGAGATAATGCCTCACTCGTCAGAATAATAGAATAAAAAAGACAAGAAGTAACACGTGTTGGCAGGGGCGTGGAAAGGAGCCCTGTGCACTGTTGGTGGGAAACCCAATTGGTTCAACCACCATTGAAAACGGTATGGAGGTCCCTCAAAACATAAAAAATAGGGATATATGAAAAAAAAAATAGGGATATGTGATCGAACAATCCCACTTCTGCGTATTTAGCCAGAGAAAACAAAACAGTAATTAGAAAAGATATATGTGTTCCTTTGTTCGTTGCAATATTAGTTACAGTAGCCAAGACATGGAACATCCTAGTGTCATTGACAAATGGATGGATAAAAAAGATGTGATAAAAGAACAGAAAGAAAGAAGGAAGGAAAGAAAAAGAAAGAGAGAAAGAAAGAAAGGAAGGAAAGAAGGAAGAGGAAGGAAGGAAAGAAGGAAGGGAGAAAGAAAGAAAAAGGAAGGAAGGTAGAC